ACTCACAACAATTACACTCCACTCTCCAGGAAGAAAGTAAAAATAAGGAAAATGGGATATCGGGTTAGAAACATTCTCACCACCTACAGCTAAAGGAATACCTAACCAAATCCAATCAACCCAAAACTGTCATGAATATCGCTCTAAGTAACGTCTGAAGCAACGTTTGAAGCAACGTCTGAATCAACAACAAATGTGCAATTGCTCACCCTCCCAGAGCAATTGCGGCAACATTAATCGCGACATCAAATACCACAAATGTAGCTCTAAGTAACGTACAAGCAGCGTTTGAAGTAACGTCTGGATCATCAACAATTGAGAGTCCCCTCTGTGCTAACGCCTTAGAGCAAACGCTATAGGAAGAAGCACGAATATAGTTCTAAGCAACGTACAAGCGACGCTTCAAGCAACGTCTGAATCAACGTTTGAAGTAACATCAAAAGTAAATAGAGTACGCAAGCAGATCAAGTGAAACACAGTGATGGACGGATATGCAAACGATGGAGGAATGTATGGTGTGCAAGCGATGGTCGGATGAATGATATGACAACGATGGACGGATGCATCATTTGCAAACGATGGTCGAATGAATGATATGCGAACGATGGTCGAATGAATGATGCGCAAACGATGGTCGGATGAATGAGTTGTAAACGCTGGTCGGATGGATTTTGTTTAAACATGATGTTCACATGTCTTATATAAGCTGAAGTAACTCCCAATGAATTTCCATGCAGCACAGCGACAGATTTACTCTATCTTTCAAAACGTACAACGTGAAGTCCCAGGATATGAACTCGTGCATTGTGCTTGTGATAAGGAGACTTGTACGGGAGATTGGCGTTCAGGTAAGCATGCGTTATCTAATCATCATCGATCTTGGGAAGAAGAGTTTCCAAAGTATGACAAGATCACGTTGAGGTATTATTCATTCTACGCAACGAAGCGCCTAAAGAGTATTCAGTCGTTTGAAGCCATCGATCGGCTTATTGCAGTAAAAATCGAAAATGATGGTGAAGATGGGTTGTAATGTAATTCATAATTCACCAATATATTGTTTTTTCTCACCATCTACATAGACAATATGAATTATAACGGTGAACCAATAGAATCCTCTATAGGAAAGAATGGTCTTCTCCTTTTCATATTATCCTATCGTTCAGGTGTCTCCAATGAACTACGTCACCATATAGTTCAGAATTATATGAATCGTATTGCAATGATTGCAGGTTGTTATACACATCACACATTCATAGAAATATATCAACTAGATAAGCGATATCTTAAACACCTTGCCGATCATATTGATTACCAGTGGTTAAGATTTGTACCATGGGATCATTATATAGTATCTGACATTGAGTATATACCGCTAACTTGTAAATCAAATGCTTCAACCCGAACATTCCAATCTGATCGAAGTGAGATATATTGATGATGAAGACTATCAAGTTGTTAAAGTAAAACCACCTAAGCCTCGAATCAAGCTATTAACCCCACATCAATCCTATCAATACAAACCTCTTGAAATAGACTACGACGATTGGTGGAGTTGGATATCAATGATGAACACCAAAATTGATGAATTATGTATTAGACTCAAGATTGGTGTTCAAACGTCTGATTATTAAAATCATGCATTGAATCAAGCAAGCTCATCTTTTTATATTGCACTGTGTATAACCATAGCATACACCATATTCCGCAATATTCAGCATAAGCTGATTGGTACTTCCTCTGCTCCATAATACTGCGGACATAAGCAAAGTCGACTTTTTCCAAATTACTGTACCCACTTCGCAATTATTGGCCAATCCAGAAATACTCGGTGCTTATTGGTTATAATTGCAAACCGCAACTACCATACACTACAAAAGCGACACTGGGCACGCAACATTGGCAACGAGAGTACCAGCACGTCTCATCGCTTCCTTGTGCAAATGGGGCAAACGGAAGTGATTGTCACCGTTGTGTTCCAGCACAATGCGCATGACAGCCTGCAAGGTAAGGAAGACATTGTCGAGCTTCTCCTCAGACAACTCATCGAAGGCAGCCAAAGTCGAACGAATCACATCATCGACAGTACGACTCACCGACTTGTACTGTAGAGCCTGAATCGAGGCAAAGAAGCCAAGATCAAGCACGTTCAGGTCTGGGCTGTTCGGCGGCTGGCGGCGCACACGGAATTCCCACCCATCGGCAAAATGGCCCTGGATCGCATCGAGCACACCGTCCGACACCGAGGCGTGCGGGGAAGCATTGTCGTGTTGGATGACAACGCGCTTGCTGACGCTCGGCATCTTGGCCTTGATGGCAGGTAACACGCGATTCAACACAAAGTTTTGGTACTCCTCGGCGTTCACGTTGACCAGAGTAGTGACCATATATGGTCCCGGCCGGGCGATTGCGAGACGTTCGGATGGCTGGCGTAGACGTCACGAAGGGCCACATCCCGATCTTGCCGTCAAAGATGAGGTTGCCGGCATCGTCGTACTGCGGCCGGGCAACGGCCGCAAGGAACATCACCTTGGGAATGAATCTCTTGCTCTTGCACGCGCGCCGGCCAATGCGCTCGCCCTTGGTAAGATACACCTTTCGGCGATCCTTGTCGGCATTGAACCACTTTTCATCCAGATGGACGACGTCGTGCATGTCCAAAAATGGCAATTCTGCGAGGCCGCTGCCATCGCTGCGGCAAAACTCAATGCGTTCGGTTCGGTTCTCGTCGGTCAGCAACGGCTTCAAGCGAGAAGACCGGCGTTCGAGCGTGCCGGACTTGAGGTTGCGGCAAATCGTGCCCATGGTAAGTCCGGTTGCTGTTGCGATGTCGCGCATTGTCGAACGTTCTTCTTGCGGTAGTTCTTGGACCAGCTGGGTCACGTGCTCCGGCGTGTAGCGGAGCTTGCGACCGACTCGTCCGGCCTTTTTCGATGGCGAGGACCCCTGGGTCAAGAAGTCCTTCCAGATGCCGGACACTGTCTTGCGGTTCAAGTTGAGTGCGGCTGCCCCGGCCTTGATCGAGCCGTGTGGGAGCTTGCCAAGGCTCATGCGGTCTTGGAGATACTTGACGACTTCCGTCTTGTCGTCGGTGGTGAGCTCTCGGTTCGCGCGGGAAGTGGTCATGGCGGCAAATTCAAAAATGGCGCACTTGGTCCCCTAATAATTAAATAGAGGGCAATTATTTTATTAAATTGGTCCTTTCTCCGATGACGAATTCAATTGGCAGGGTAAAATTGGTGGTTTTGCGCGGTGCAGTCAATACGAATTGTCTTTCATTTTTGATTGTCTTTCAGAATTGGTACGATTCATCAAATTTGGCCAAAAAATGAATTTTTGGGGTCGCTGGTTTGAGTTGTGACCACAGTATTATGGAGCAGAGGAAGTATTGTTTTTCATTACATTTGAAAACT